CTATGACTATGAAATTATGCAACTCCCGAATACCGGAGGAACACTTAGTGTGCTATCAAACGTCACAACATAACTGGGTGATTATAAAGATGCTCTACAGGTGTCTCCGATAGTGTTTGTTGAGTTGGCATAGATCGAGATTAGGATTTGTCACTCCGATTGTCGGAGAGGTATCTCTGGGCCCTCTCGGTAATGCACATCACTATAAGCCTTGCAAGCAATGTGACTAATGAGTTAGTTGTGGGATGATGCATTACGGAACGAGTAAAGAGACTTGCCGGTGACGAGATTGAACTAGGTATGATGATACCGACGATCGAATCTCGGGCAAGTAACATACCGATGACAAAGGGAACAACATATGTTGTTATGCAGTTTTCCCGATAAAGATCTTCGTAGAATATGTGGGAACCAATATGAGCATCCAGGTTCCGCTATTGGTTATTGACCGGAGATGTGTCTCGGTCATGTCTACATAGTTCTCGAACCCGTAGGGTCCGCATGCTTAACGTTCGATGACGATTTGTATTATGAGTTATGTGATTTGATGTACCGAAGGTTGTTTGGAGTCCCGGATGAGATCACAGACATGACGAGGAGTCTCAAAATGGTCGAGATGTAAAGATCAATATATTAGAAGGCTATATTCGGACATAGGAAAGGTTCCGAGTGATTCGGGTATTTTTCGAAGTACCAGAGAGTTACGGGAATTCGCTGGGGGAAGTTGTGGGCCTTAATGGGCCATATGGAAAAGAAGAGAAGGGCCTAAAGGGGTGGCCGCGCGCCCCTCCATGGCAAGTCCGAATTGGACTAGGGAGGGGGCGGCGCCCCCTCTCTTTCCTTCTCCCTCTCCTACTCCTTCCCTCTCTCCCCTCTTTGAAAAGGAAGGGGACTCCAACTAGGATTGGGAATCCTAGTTGGACTCCCCTATAGGCGCGCCCCTCCTAGGCCGGCCTCCTCTTCCCCCTCCTTTATATACATGGGCAGGGGGGCACCCCAAAGGCACTCCAAGATTTGTCTTAGCCGTGTGCTGTGCCCCCCTCTATAGTTACACACCTCGGTCATATCATCATAGTGCTTAGGGGAAGCCCTGCGTCGGTAACTTCATCATCACCATTGCCACGTCGCGTGCTGACGGAACTCTCCTTCGGCCTCAACTAGATCAAGAGACCGAGGGACGTCATCGAGCTGAACGTGTGCTGAACGCGGAGGTGTCGTACGTCCGGTACTTGGATCGGTTGGATCCCGAAGACGTTCGACTACATCAACCGCATTACTCAACGCTTCCGCTTTCGGTCTACGAGGGTACGTAGACACACTCTCCCCTCTCGTTGCTATGCTTCTCCTAGATAGATCTTGTGTGATCGTAGGAAATATTTTGAAATAGTAGGTTCCCCAACACCCCCTACCCCCGCCTGAAAAACCGCCGATGGAAATGCGCAAAGCCCTTCACCAGATGCGCCGGGGGCCAAATTGCTGGAGATGCTCTTAGGCCTGGGCTTGGGTGCACTAGACGCGTGTGGCACTACCCGCAACAACTCCAGCCTTGAGCCAGCGACAAAGACGGTCTGGACGGTGGATCGCATCTCACCTTGTGGGGACCATGTCTCTCATGGAGCTTGAATTGAGGGGAACAACGACATGGAAGCAGCTCCCACAACTTATGCCCAGACTTAGGCGCATCGAATGCGGTGGTGGAACCTGCAACGACGAGCCTTGCTGTCGGCGACGGCGACAACCATGGACAGCGGACCGAATCTCACCTTGTGGGTCTATCTCGTGGAGCTCGGACAGAGTAAGCTCGAAGTGTCCGGGAGATAAGGTAAGGGAAAGGAAATACTAAGGGCCTATTTGGTTCCAAATAAGTCACCAACTTATAAGTCGAAAAGTGAAAACACTGACTTATTTTGCCAAACAGTCCCAACTTATAAGTCACCCCAACTTATAAGTCATAAGTTGCTCCACCCAACTTAAAACTTATAAGTCATCCCCTTTTGCGTGGGTTCCACCGCCTTTACATAAAAAACAAGGTGGGAAGGTGACAACCAAACAGACGTGACTTATAAGTCACCGGTTTTAAGTCACCTGACTTATAAGTCAGGTGACTTATTGGAACCAAACATGCCCTAAGTAAAAATGAAAGTAGTACTACTTTTTCTTGAGTCTATGAAAGTAGTACTACTATGTTTAAGAGTGGTGGGGCCTAGCGGGACAGGTGACCGAGTGAAAATCAAGACTAGCCCACCAAAATCAATGTCCTCAATTGATTCTCAGCTCTTTTACCCACAGGGAGCTTAGTGATATAATAGAGTAGAAGGGATGGACGCACTTTGTTGCGTCGTTGGTGTTGTTAACTTTCTTTAAAAAAACACGCACTCTGTTTTAGAATATAAGGTATATAATTTTTCAAAAATTCAAACTATTTGAGTTTGATAGAATTTGTAGAGAAATATATCAAAATTCATAATATTAAATTGGTATGATAGATTCATCACAAAATGAATTTATATACTTTTTTTAATATTGTGGATGTCCATATTTTTTGCTTTGAACTTGGTCAAAGTTAAAGAAATTTAATTTTCCAAAAATCTAATACCCTTTATATTTTGGAACTTATGGAATATTTAGTTTGGCGGGTGAGGGAGATGATGAAGTGTGTTTATTTTTATTTATAATGTGGTGATTTGATGGGACTTTCATAGTGTGGTATGTGTTATCCATTAACCAACGTATATTTATATGGGGATTTTTTTGCATCGATGGATGCATGTACTATATTGATGCTATAATATTGCATGGTTGCTTTCTTTTTTCTAGGTAGTGGAAGGGTGTGTAGGATTAATATGTTTTATAGGCTGATTGCTGCTGATTAATTTGAAAAATCATTGGCATGGTCAATAATCGTAAACAAAATGCAAAATTGAATATCTCAACTAAATGAAAGAGCTTCAAAATTAAAGAGCGCACATAATTAAAAGAATTGAATGGAAGAGCTCCTTAAGAAATTATTGACCCTGTCAAAATTGGATGACCCAATCCTAATTTAAAAATCTAATTAATTGTGAAACGTTAAAAATTAGGAAGCATAATGTATAGTATAAAAAATTGAATGAGAGAGCTTTGAGAAATTGTTGACCTGCTCAAAATTGGCTTACCCAATTCCTATTGGAGACCTTAACTGAATGTGGGCTTAATAAAACTAGGGGGCTTAGTGTCACAAAGATAGGAAGTCATTTTGTTGTACAATACTGATTCTTTTTGAGCATTTATTGTACAGTACTGATGGGAATAACTGGATTTTCTTTTGAGGGAAATGGGAATGACTGTTTTCTAGACAAGGGAATGACTGGATTTTGTTTTTTGAGCAACTAGGGAATGACTGGATTTTTTTGTGAACGTCTATAGTAAGCACGAGGCCCAGCTGCTTGGTGGAGAGAGTAGTAGGGTAGCATTGAGCCCAGCCCATCATGGTCCGACCCAACAACACCATAAGGTGAGACGACAAAGACCTAGGCTTGCCTCCCGTGGGAGCTCCTAACCGGCGCCTTCAGCGCCGGCTTCGCGGTCTGGCGCTCGAAGCGCACGTTACTGGGCCGGCCCAGGTGAGCTTCGACCGAAAACCACGTCACGAAAAAATGAACGTGAAAATACTACGGAAGCTGGGTTTCGAACCAAAGATCGCTCTTCTTTCTGTCTGACGCGAGAACTAGTAGACTAAACACGCTCTGTTGTTATGTAGCTAGGAAAAAGTGCTAGTTAACCTTTATTCAGTGAAAACATTAACGTAAAATCTGAAAAAATAGTTGAAAAGTTCTTTGATTTTGAAAAATAAGTTCATCGATTTTGAAAACAAGTTCACCATTTTCTTTAAAGGTTCACAGTTTTTTTAAATCGTCGATTATGAAAAAAAAATGATCATCGGTTTTGAAAAAAGTTCATCGATTTAGAAAAACGTTCATGGAATTTGGGAAAAAATGTTCATCGGATTTGAAAAAAGTTCATCGGAATTGGAAAAAGTTCATCAGATTTGGAAAAGGTTCACGGATTTGAAAAATGTTCATTGATTTCAAAATAAGTTCATTGATTTTGGAAAAAGTTCATCGAATTTCGGAAAAAATGTTCATCGATTTTGAAAAAAATGTTCATCGATTTTGAAAAAAGTTCATCGATTTGGAAAAATATTCATGGAATTTGGGAAAAAATGTTCATCGGATTTGAAAAAAGTTCATCGGAATTGAAAAAATTTCATCAGATTTGGAAAAGGTTCACGGATTTGAAAAATGTTCATTGATTGCAAAAAAAGTTCATCGATTTTGGAAAAAGTTCATCGAATTTCGGAAAAAATGTTCATCGGATTTGAAAAAAGTTCATCGGAATTGGAAAAAGTTCATCAGATTTGGAAAAGGTTCACGGATTTGAAAAATGTTCATTGATTTCAAAAAAAGTTCATCAATTTTGATAAACGTTCATTGAATTCGAAAAAAGGTCATCGAAATTGAAAAAAGGTTCACGCATTTAAGGAAAGAAAAAAGAAAAGGAAATGAGAAAAGAAACATGAAAAAGGAACAAGAAAAAAAAACGCCCAGAAACTGACCAGCGAACGACCTAGGTAAAGATTAAAAACAAAAGAAAGAAAGTTGTAGGCATAGGCGCGTTGTTATCCTGGTGGTTAGCTCTCTCTACTTTCAACCTAGCGATCCAGTGTTCGATCCCTCGCTAGTGTTCAATAGGAAAAAAAATAAGAAACGGGCCGGCCCAGGGCGGCGCGGGGGGGTGTTCGCCCGTTTGCGCCGATACCTGTATCGGGCGCCGTTTAGGAAATGCCTGCCTCCCATCCCTATTCCGTCACTCCGCCGCCGTTCTGCTCCAGGTTCCGCCTCTAGATCTGTCCCAACTTGCTTCGATTTTGATCAAAAAACTTCCTTATTTCTTTTGAATCTACTACTTCTGATCCTCCCAGAGAGAAGCATCTTACTAACTAGATCGTCGGAGAGTCGAAGATGAGCGGCGGCATCCGGCGGTTCCTGAACCTAGGGGTGCATGACGGGCGCAACCGCGCGTATTCGTTGCGCCGCTTGGACCTCTCCAAGATAAACTCTTTTCACCGGACGGCAGATGAGGTGGCCGCGCAGGGCAAGGTGCTGCCAACACTGACCCCCGCCAAGGCCTCGGTGCCCAACAGGAAAAGGATCTGCAACACTAATCTAGCGGCGGCAGAGGCGGCGGCGCCCAAGATCAAAAAGGCGCCAGCAAGCGAGTTGGTCATGAGGCCACCGGAAGTCTCGTCCTGCCTGCCGGGCCGTCACTGCGTTCATTTCTTCCCCACCGCCTCGGAGAAAACATTCGTCTTGGGCGACCGCGCGAATCGCATGCTACGCTTCGACATGGGCGAGCACTGCCGCTCGATCGATACCATGCCAAGCCTCCACGAGCACAAGCACTCGCCGTTGTCAATCACCGTCCCTCCGTCGGACTCACACCTCGATGATGGAGAAGACTGCGGGGACCTCTACATCATCGATAGGATCCTCCATCCGGACAAGTCCGAGGTGAAGCCGCAGTTCGAGGCCCTGGTGTGGAGGGCAGAGCATCCACGCTCCTTTTCTAGCAGGTCCTGGCACTGTGACATCCTCCCGCTGCCACCGTGGATCATCCACCAGAAGCACGCCTACGTCTATGGCCACGCCCTCGTGGGCGACACCATCTGCTTCTCTATCGCCGGTGCCGAGGGCACTGGCACCTACTGCTTCTACATCAAGACTCGTGAGTGGAGCAAGGCTGGCGACTGGCTTATTCCGTTCCAGGGCAAGGCGGAATACGTCCCGGAGCTCGGGCTCTGGTTCGGTGAATCACAAGGCCTCCCCTGCGCTGCTGACATCTCTGGCGTCCTCAGAGGGGAGGAGCCGCTGCCGGAGAAGATGCGGATCTGGGCGAATGATGACCTGCCAGAGGAGTGGCAGCCGAGCGAATTGTGCAAGTCCAAGGTCATCAGCGTTGGCTCCGGCAGGTTCATTGTTGCTGACTTCTTGGATTCCATGATATTTGACAAGGACTGCAATGAGATGGTTACTGGCAAGCAATTTGCCCTCTTTACTGGTATGGAGGTAGTGTACGGCAATGGCAAGAATGGCAATGGCGCCAACAAAGACAATGACAACTACAATAGTGGCAACAATGGCATCTGCAAAGACAATGGAAACATTGGCAGCAAAGGCAAAGAGATGATGCGTGGCCTCCGTATGATTAAGCACAAATCCATTCGTTACATGTTTAACAAGCAACTGAGTATCGAGGCGGTGCTCTGAATGATTCAGTATGACATTTTGACTTGCTGAACTCTAGCTAGTGTTTGACTATATCTGTGCATGCATGCTGGGACTAAATGCGCTAAAGTGTACTCTTGCTGCTCCCTTTGTTTTTGCTCCGCTTTAGTAGTGTTAAGTCAACTTAATTAGTAGGTATGTCCTTTGCATAATCCATCTTGTGGTATGATGAAATGCACTGTAAATTGTACCTCCCTAGTTTTATTTCCGGAGCATTCCAGCTAGTGTTCAGATTTGATGGTGATCAAATAATTCTTTGATGGCAAGTTTGAACTGTTGTGATATCGGTAAGCTAGCTGAAGAATGCAGGTAGAAAGAAAAGGAGATCATATATAGTAATGCTGGTCTGATTTCCTGAGTTGAAAGCTGAAGCTGTATACGTATATTAGTTTGGATGCAGGACCAGCGTGATGTTTAACTTGGTTGGTTATTTGCGCATTAATAATGCCATTCATACTCGAGCAAAGAAAACAGTTAGGCTTTTATGTTTGGCGGATTGATTTTCATTCAATGCATGCACAGAACTGGAGGCGAAAGTTGAGCCCAAATGTTAAATTATTTCTGTCGCTTCTACTTCATCAGAAAAGGACTCGCTGCCAATTGTTCACCTTGAAAGTAATTTTGGCAAAAGAAAAGAAATTGGAACAAGGTAGGAGTAGCTGGACTAGAGTTGCTGGTCATTTGCTAATATGACTGATGGGATATTCAGGAATTTGATTGGATGTTAATTCCCCCCCTAGTCCTAGCCTAGCAAGCAACTGTGAGGATATCAGGAGTAGTATTTAAGTTCTAGCCTAGGAAGCAGCTGCTTGATAGTACGACGAGCACTGCTTCGCACACGACACTTCCCAGACGAAATACAGACGACATGTCATATCCTACCGTCCAAGGCCAAGGCTAAACAGCTCCAGCCGGTTCGATTGGGCATCGTTCCAGTATCGTTCACCAAAGCATCGTGTGCGAAGTTCATCCTCGACCGCCCTTGCTGATGGTTTCTTGGGCTAGGGAGTGCTTGCCGATACGTCCATTTCACATCATATTTTTGTATTGTTATTTATTATGTTTTTTGTCGATATTTTCCTTTATGATGCAATTCTAATGCCTTTTCTCTCTCATTATACAATATTTACATGAATAGGAAAATTGTCGGTAGCTGGAATTCTCGACCTGAAAAGAGGTACAACAGAGATAGCTATTCTCCGGAGCTCCAAATAACCTAAAAATTTGGGAGGTTTATTTTGAAATTAATAAAAAATACTGGAAGAAGAATTACCAGGAAGTGTTCCTCGAGTGAGCCACAAGCTCAGGTGGCGCGCCCCCGCCCCCAGGGTTGCGCCATGTGAGCTTGTGGGCCCATCAGCAGGCCTTTGTGGCCCTCCATCCCCTATATGAAACCATTTGCCCTAAAAACAGAAAAAGGCTTTCGGGACGAAGCGCTGCCGTCTTGAGGCGGAACCTAGGCATGAGCACTTTTGCTCTCCATGGGAGCGATTCTGCTGGGATACTTCCCACCAGGAGGGGGAAATTGAAATCATCGTCATCACCAGTGGTCCTCTCATCGTCGGAGGACTCATCTCCATCAACATCTTTACTAGTATCATCTCATCTCAAACCCTAATTCATCTCTTGTATCCAATCTTTGTCTCCAAACCTTAGATTGGTACATGTGGGTTGCTAGTAGTGTTGATTATATCTTGTAGTTGATGCTAGTTGGTGCAGATAATATGTTTAGATGCTTAATCTATATTGTACTCCTCTAATCTTGAACATATACATGATATGTGAGTAGTTTCGTTTGTTCTTGAGGACATGGGAGAAGTCTTGTTATAAGTAATCATGTGAAGTTGGTATTCGTTTAATATTTTGATGATATGTATGTTGTTCTTCCTCTAGTGGTCTCGTGTAAACATCGACTACATGACTTCACCATGTTTGGGCCTAGGGGAAGGCATTGGGGGGTAGTGACATAAGCTTAAACGCTAGTTTATGCATGTAAGTGCATCTAGTGTCGCCTTAGTGATTTTGGTGTATTGAAGACAAATGGTTTAAGGGAATAATGTGTTTATGAGTGTATACATGAGTTATAGTCCTTGAAAACTTGGTTTAACTGACGAAAGACGATGATACGTCTTCATCATATCTACTTTTCCAAACTCTTTTTGTAGTGATCCGACCTCAAACGATCAAATCTCTGTGTATAAGTGTCATCCCTGGATCGGTAATGCTGACACACACAATACTCGAGGATTTATAACAGAGTTCAATCACACACTTATTACATCGAATGTCTCAAAAGAGAGTACTTATTACAATAATATGGCTGAAGGCCATCTAATTAGGATAACAACGCAAGCTTCGAAGATACATGAGTCCATCAACTCCAACGACATAGCTGAGTGCGTGACAACGACCTAGCACACCTTATTCTTTGTCTGCAAACTCTGCAACATAATACGTTGCAACCTGTGTAGGTCAGCACATGAAATATGTTGGCAAAATAACACTATAGATCAATGAACATGCAACAACTATAACTATATGCAAATTTGGCTGGTGGATGCTCTATGGTTATTTTTGCAGAAAGCTAGTTTTTCCCTACAACAAAGGAATATATTTTATTTAACTACAAAGTTTGTTGAAAACATTGAGAAGGTTCCTCCAACTCAATACCAAATTAATAATCATCAACCCAACAAATTAATTAAATAGAGTGATGAGATCAAATCAATAATTCAAGTACCAAATACTCAAGATGTCCATAACCGGGGACACGACTAACCATGATTAGTTTATCACTCTGCAGAGGTTTGCACACTTTCCCCACAAGACTCGATCTCCCTCGTTAGATTTCTCGCACTACATGGTGTTTGAGAAACGGATGACCGAGACACAGTCTTTCAGAAGCATTATCTCTTTACTTTGGGTAGAGAGTACCACCTACATCCCCTACATCTGCTAGCCTACCACTGAAAGAGGTCACACAACATACTCAACTATGCAAGAGCCCATAATGGCTTGTGGCTGCACACGGAAGTTTCCAGCATGAATAATCTTATGATCCCTTTGAGCCTGGGTGGCAAACCGTAGGATGATCATAGGGCTACTCCGGGATATCCCAGGATAACACTGGATTGCTCCAGGTGCCCAAACAACCACTGGGTGCTCCAGGGTGCCTCAACCAATCCACCCAGATGTGTATTAAAGTAGCCACCTTAAGTTTAACCATTAATTAAAACTCTCACATCTGTCATGGATCACTCAAACCCAAACCACGTATACGAGCATATCATAGCAGTATAAGCATAACGTAGAAGTAACTCCTAGGGTTTGAAATAAGGACAATAGGTTCTACCTCATCAACTACTTCCCAATACCCACAAGTATTCAAGTCCTAACCATGCCGTGTTTTGAGGATTGAAACTAATGCATAAAACTAGGTAATAAAGAGTATGATCAAAGTGTTACTTGCCTCGCCGATGATCTGAAAACCCTAGTGACTCGTAGTAGCACGCTTCGCACTACAGAAACTCTATCGTGAACAAACAATAACATACATAAGCACTCAAGCATAAGATGCAAGGTAAAACTCAAATAAAAAGATCCAAACTGAAATTCAACTGAAGAGCTTCGATTTGCAAAAAGAATCAATCAAATCGGAGTAATGAAACTCAAACTACGACTAAAAGAAGTTCGAATTCAAATCAGCTTGAAACCAAATTTTAAATTGTCAAAACCATGTTCAAGTTGATTATCTAGAAAGAGGGGAACAAGACGAAGATTTTGGCATTGGTTTCACTGGATTTGGACAAGCGAGCAAAAAGTTGCGAGGGTTTAAAAATCAGGGACTAAGCTGTGAGAAAAGTATTCATGGATAGGTCCCTGGCCGAAAATAAAATAAAAAGAAAAACCTATCGAACGAAAGTTCGCTAATAGAAATAATCGAACAAACGTTGTTCGCTACTGCGGTTAACGGACAAACGTCCACAAATTAGACCCGAACGTAAAAACCGAGAAAAACCCTAACCCTATGAAGAACCGAAAAAACCCGAAAACGAACCAGCGAACCGGGACGGTTTTTATATCGGTTCACGGTGACGGCGGTCAACGGCGGCGGCAGAACTCTGGCAAGGCGGCGAGGCAAAGCGGCGGCGCGGGGCTGTGGGCAGGGCGATGTTGGTGAGCGGCGATGGCTGCGGCGAGCAGGCGGCGGCGGCTGCGGTCGGGGCGAGTTGGGGAGGAGGCGACGGCGGGGCAGCGGTATATAAAGGGCCCGAGGGGGGGCTGCTTGGAGGAGGGGCGCTGGGTCGGACCGGGAGTCATGCCCTGGTTGGACTCGGGCGGCGGCGGCGGCTCGGTCTCCCCACGCGGGAGTAGGCCGGCCTGCTCGGCTGGGCCTTCGGCCCAGCCGGGTTGGAAGTTTAAAAAAAAATTAATTTCTCCCGAAAGAAAAATCCTAATAAAATGTAAAAAAATCTAAAAATACGAAAAACAATTTTCACCGTCTAAACCTAATATTTAGAACAAAGTGAACATTTTTCTGGCCTAAAAATGAAATTTCAAAAATGCATATTTTTCTAATTCAAATAAAATAGCAAATAAAATCCAAATAAAATATAAATTGATTTTAAAGTTTTCCTTCTCCAATATTCCTTTCTTTTGAAGAAGTCATGTTATCTTCTCTCTTTTATTTTAAATATTGGAAATAATTGGAGAGAGAAAAATATTAAAATCAAATTGATCCTCTTTTCAAATTTGAGAAAATTCAAATATGAAAATTTATGAAATCCCCAACTCTCTCCTTGGGTCCTTGAGTTATTTAAGATTTCTAGGATCTCAACCAGAATGCAAATAAAATATGATATGCATATGATGACCTATGTATAACGTCCAAATTCAAAATTGGGATGTTACAAACCTACCCACCTTAAGATGAATCTCGCCCTCGAGATTCGGGTTGGCTAGAAAATAGGTGTGGGTGGTCT